ATTTTTTTTTTGAGAGGGCATCTCTCATATTTATTGATCAAATGGTTGTTAACAACAATAAAATTCTGTATAGGGGACTCAATGCTCAATGCACAATCATTAATCCACCCCAAGCCTAATTCTCGTCAGTCTCCAATCTTCTGAAGCATAGCGAGCAAGTTCTTACATGGTGAACAAATTCTTACATAGTGAATAAGTTCTTACATGGTGAACAGTACAAGGGCAGTCATCATAGAAACTTTTGGTTTTGATCACGCATTATGAACTATAAACAATCAGGTCAAATATTAGGTATTTTTTTTTTTGAGGCAGTTGTGAATGGAATTGTTTTCCTAATTTCTCTTTCTGCTAGTTCATCATTAGTGTATAGGAATGCAGCAGATTTCTGTGTATTAATTTTTTATCCTGCAACTTTGCTGAATCCACTTATTAGTAGTTGTAATAGTTTTATGATGAAGTGTTTAGGGTTTTCTATATAGTATCATGTCATCTTCAAATAGTGACAGTTTTACTTCTTCTTACCAATTTGGATGCCATTATCTTTTTGCCATGGCTTGGACCTCCAATACTATGTTGAATAAAAGTGGTGAGAGTGAACATCCTTGTCTTGTCCCTGATCTTATAGGAAAAGCTGCCAGCTTTTTGCCATTGAGTATTGTGAGCTGTTAGTTTGTTGTATATGGTCTTTATTATGTTAGGTACGTTCCCTCTGTACACATTTTGTTGAGAATTTTTATCATGAATGGTTGTTGAATTTTTCAAACGCTTTTTCAGCATCTATTGAGGTGATCATTCAAAGGCTTTTATATTGACTATTCTGACAGTAAATTATCCTGATTTACCAAAAGACTTAGTTACACATTAAGGTTTTATACTTATGTAGTTTAATAGCATTCAGTAAGCAATCATTTGGTGATTAGCCAAATGAGATGGTTTCTATATGTGGGCTTGCAATTAAGAATGACCCTGGGGTCATTTTCATTGAGGGCGAAATTAGCCTGGCCAGAGCTGCATTTTGGAGAACTTTAAGGATGGTTGTGTGATACTCAAGTCAACAGAGTATATTTTTTTGTACAGAATGTATAATTATGTAATTCAAAGTGTTTCTTTCCTTAGTACCTTGGATATTTTGGAGATGCAAAGAGTAAATATAAAAAGATATATGTGAAGTTCATTGAAAATACAAACAAAAAGGAATATGTTAGAGTGTGTTCCAAAAAGCCAAGAACTAAGCCTTCACAGACTATCAGGTATTTATTTTCTTACATAATAAATTTGTGTAGTAATTACTGGAAGGCTTATTACAGCAATGTCTTACATCAATTAAAGACAGTGATTTTTTTTTTCATTGTGTATAAGAGTGAAACTACAAAGCCAGAAAAGAGATAATTACTTTTGTAGTAATGAGTCAGGAATGGTAGAGCTTCTGGCTCTCTAAGGGGATTGGGTACCCTTTTCTTTACCTGCGCCCTTTCATTGTCACAGATTAGGTTCAAAAGTTTTGAGTCTAGCTTTCTCTGATATAGAAAGACATCTTTCTGAGGCCCTTCTTTATCTATAAAATGAAAATATAATGAATGTCAAACTGAAATAAATCTCGAGAAGAAAACTTGAGGTCCTGTATACAAGTAGGCAAGTATACAATTGAATTATCATTTATTAATGTGACTCTGGATTGTCTGCAGCATCAAATTGGAAGATAACTGACCTACTCACATTCCCTGAGATCTATATGGGAAAGAGAGTTTGCCTATGTTTTTTTTTCTAAGAGTTTTATGGTTTCATGACTTACATTCATGTATTTGACTTATTTTGAGTTTATTTTTGTGTTAGACAGTAATTCAGTTTCATTTTCCTACATGTTAGCTGTCCAGTTTTGCCAACACCAGCTGTTGAACAGGCTGTCATTTCCCCATTGTATATGCATGGATCCTTTATCATATATTAATCAGTTCTAGGAAGGCCTCAATCTAGTTCTAGGAAGGCCTAGCGCAATTAAGATTCCAATTTTTTGGAATCCTTATTTTTATGATGGAATTTTATCCCCTCAAATCTCTAGAACTAGCATACAGCTGATCTTGAGGGCCTGTAGGCCAGGTACACTTGGTTGTCCACAGTCAAAACCTGGCACCACCAGAGCCTGTGAACATTTCTTATGGTCAGAACTAGGTGTAATTATCAAGGATTTATTGTGCATTACTTCCCAAGGCCCATTGATCATCTGTTGTACAGGTCATATAGGACAATGTGTTCATAAAGGGAGGGGAAGAGTGAAGAGAAACAGATTGAATTAATAGTTCCATAATAACTGAATATTGAATGTCAGTAGTTGAAGAGTATATTTCAAGAGAATTTGGGGAGAATCACCACTGGAGATGTATAAGAATGGACTTTATTTTGGAGGTGTCACTAAGGTAATTAAGTATACTTTTTTTCTCCAGAGTTTCTTGTTTGTCTTATTTAGTTTAATTTGACACAGTTTGTGTGTTACCGATGTTTGTTTGTCACACTGTAGAACTGTTCAGGCCAAACCAAGTAGCAGCAGTAAAACGTCTGATCCTCCACCACCAAAAACTGCAAACCCAAAAGCCCCTTCCACAAAACCTAAAGTTAAACAGCTGAAAGTAAAGGCTGAGCCGCCACCAAAGAAACGGAAAAAATGGAAAGAAGAATTGTCATCATCCCAGTCTGACTCATGTCCTGAGGTCCATTCTAGTAGCAGCGATGATGAGGGTGAGTGTTCCATAACATGAATACCTGGGTAACTTCACGTTCTCTACACAAATGGAGAGGAGCAATGGTGCTGGCAATTCAAAATGTATTTGTTTTTCAGGGGATTTAACAGCCTAGTTAAATTCTGCTTACGCTTTTATAAAAATAAATTCAGTGTCTGAACACACTAACCAAAAGCGCAGTTTGCCCACTCATACAGTCTCAAGAAATAGAAAAGCTGTGAACTGAAAGAAGACCATGTGAGTTCTAGCCACTGCAGTGCTTGTTACCTCCTCTTCAGGTCGGGTGGGCATTCAATCAGATGATTTTTAAGACTCTAGTTCTAAACTTCTGAGATTGTGTTTATGCTGGTAGAAGAGAGTAATTATACAAGTTTAGGCAGCAGCAATTCAAACTATGGGTAATGGGCCATACTCTAACATATATGGTAATATATGCTCCCACATATATAGGATATATTTACTAATTGTATAATGAATACTCCTGTATCTCTGCCACTAGCCATCCAGGGTTCAGCTAGTTAACCCCTCTGCCTCAGTTTTCTATAAAAAATTTTTTTCTTTTATTGGTAACTTGAATTACCACTAGGTGTCACTAATAGGCAAGCATTTTCAGTGCTTCTTACAAAGAAAGCAGATATTGACAATAAAGAGATTTATAGGGTGATGATTTTCAAATTGTTTCAAGATTTCTTCATAATCTTTAAATTGAGGATTTCAAAATACTTTGGTTTTTGTGGGCTATATCTATTAATATTTACCAAATGTCAATTAAAGCAAAAAAAATATTTTAACATCTTTATGTATTTATCTAAACGAACAGTCTTTAGTTGAGTATTATTTTCATATTTGCTTCTATATTCAGTTTGTTCTTATGTATTATTTTGGTTAAAGTATATGAGGAAAACCCAGCCTTATATACATATGTCATTGGGAAAGGGAGAAGTATTTTAATTGCCTTTTCATATAACTTTGGATATTTTTATTTGATACCCCAAGTTGTTAATTTGATAAACTTGACAAGTGCTAGTTTCTTCAGCTTCTCATTCTCACTACATTAGAATCCATTCTTTTGTTTTATTCCTTGAATGTATCTTTCATCCAGGAATGATTTTGTAACATTATTTATTGGTCATGTGAAAATATTTACTAGCTCATTAATGTACATATTCTATATCATTTTCATTCACATTTAAAAATATTGTGGTAATACATACATACATATATACATAAAAAGTTTGTGTGTATATATATATATACACACATATATATATACTTGTCATTTTAACCATTTTTAAGTGTACAATTCAGTAGCATTAATTATGTTTATGCTGTTGTACAACTATCTATTTCCAGAATTTTTTCACCACTGCAAACAAATTTTGTAACCATTAAGCAATAACTCTTCATTCTCCCTTTCCCCCAGCTACTGGTAATCTCTAATCTACTTTCTGTCTCCAGTAGTTTGCCTACTCTAAATATTTCATGTAAGCATATATGGTTTATTTAACTTAGCATAATATTTCAAGGTCCATCTGTGTTAAAGCATATATTCAAACTTACTTTGTTTGGATGAATATTATTCCATTTTAAGTGTATCCATTGTGTGTTCATTTTGTTTTCATCTGTTGGTGGACACTTGAGTTTACACCATTTGACTATTGTAAATAATGCTGCAGTGAACATTGGCATACAAATGGTTGTGCCCTTATTTTCATTTGGCCCAGGAGTGAAATTGCATACTTAGCTTTTTTTTTTTGTATCATTAATCTACAATTATGTGAGGAACGTTATGTTTACTAGACTCCCCCCATCACCAAGTCCTCCCCAGAAATCCCATTACAGTCACTGCCCATCAGCGTAAGATACTGTAGAATCACTACTTGTCTTCTCTGTGTTGCACAGCCCTCCTCCTGCCCCGCCCCCCACACATTATATATGCTAATTGTTATGCCACCTTTCTTTTACACCCCCCTATCTCTCCCTTCCTAGCCATCCTCCCTAGTCCCTTTCCCTCTGGTAACTGTTAGTCCATTCTTGGGTTCTGTGATTCTGCTGCTGTTTTGTTCCTTCAGTTTTTTCTTTGTTCTTATACTCCACATATGAGTGAAATCATTTGGTACTTGTCTCTCTCCACCTGGCTTATTTCACTGAGCATAATACCCTCTAGCTCCATCCATGTTGTTGCAGATGGTAGGATTTGTTTTCTTCATATGGCTGAATAATATTCCATTGTGTATATGTACCACATCTTCTTTATCCATTCATCTACTGATGGACACTTAGGTTGCTTCCATTTCTTGGCTATTGTAAATAGTGCTGCAATAAACATAGGGGTGCATCTGTCTTTTTCAAACTAGGGTGCTGTATTCTTAGGGTAAATTCCAGAAGTGGAATTCCTGAGTCAAACGGTATTTCTATTTTGAGCTTTCTGAGGAACCTCCGTATTGCTTTCCACAATGGTTGAACTAATATACATTCCCACCAGCAGTGTAGGAGGGTTCCCCTTTCTCCACAACCTCCCCCAGCAATTGTTGTTGCTTGTCTTTTGGATGGTGGCCATCCTTACTGGTGTGAGGTGATATCTCATTGTGGTTTTAATTTGCATTTCTCTGATGACTAGCAATGTGGAGCATCTTTTCATGTGTCTGTTGGCCATCTGAATTTCTTCTTTGGAGAACTGTCTGTTCAGCTCCTCTGTGCATTTTTTAATTGGATTATTTGCTTTTCATTTGTTGAGGTGTGTGAGCTCTTTATATATTTTGGATGTCAAGCCTTTATTGGATCTGTCATTTATGAATATATTCTCCCATACTGTAGGATACCTTTTTGTTCTATTGATGGTGTCCTTTGCTGTACAGAAGCTTTTCAGCTTGATATAGTCCCACTTGTTCATTTTTGCTTCTGTTTCCTTTGCCCCGGGAGATATGTTCATGTAGAAGTCACTCGTGTTTATGTCCAAGAGATTTTTGCCTATGTTTTTTTCTAAGAGTTTTATGGTATCACAACTTACATTCAGATCTTTGATCCATTTCTAATTTACTTTTTGTATGGGGTTAGACAGTGATCCGGTTTCATTCTCTTACATGTAGCTGTCCAGTTTTGCCAACACCAACTGTTGAAGAGGCTGTCATTTCCATATACTTAGCTTTTTGAGGAACCACCAAACTATTTTCCACAGTGGTACATCATGTTACATTGTCACCAGCAGCAATGTGTGGGGTTCAAATTTCTTCACATCTTCACTAATACTTGTCCGTCAGTCAGTTAGTTATTAAAACCACCCTAGTATGTGTGAAGTTGTATTTCATTGAGGTTTTGATTTGTATTTCCCTAACAACTAATGATGAACGTCTCTTTTGTACTTACTTGCCATTTACCAATCTTCTTTGGAAAAGTATCTATTCAGGTCCTTCACCCATTTTTTTAATTGGGTCATTGTTCCTTTTGTTCTTAATGTTTGTAGGAGTTCTTTATATAGTCTAAGTATTAAACCCTTGTCAGATATATGATAAGTTCCATAAGTTGGCATTTCACTCTCTTAATGTCCTTTAATGCACAGAAGTGGGAAATTCTGGTGAAGCAAAATGTATCTATTTTTTTCTTCTATTGCTCATGCTTTTGGTATCGTTTTAGAGACTTGTCCTATATTTTCTTCTAGGAGTTTTATGATTTTAACTCTTATAAAAAATAAATTTAATAACACCACTGATGTTATCAATGAAGTCTTCAAATACTAGGATGTTGTCATGCTCACAGTGGTAAATAGAAGTTTTCCAGAATTCTGGTTTTCACTTGAAATCTTAAATTTTAGCATTGGCAACAAATATTGTCAGCTGTTTTCCTTGAAGTAATGGTGACAGGTTCAACTTTGTTAATTTTTTAGAAAGAGCCTGAATAGGCATAGTGTGTCTATATCTTTATTTCAAATAAAAATGGTGTCCAAAGGGGGAAAAAGTGGCTAATTCATCTTGTAACTCGAACAGTGCATGGATTCTCTTCCTGGAGATAATCATCCTATTTTATAACAGAAGTACTACTTTGTATGTACTTCTTGTTTCATCACACACAGAGTATTAAGACATTTACTCAAGAGTAAAGATTTAATATAATTAATCATTTTTACTGCTTTGTCAAGGACTATTAAGTGAAACTGGCTTTTTCTGTGCATGGCATAGCAGTGAGATAGCAAAGTATATGGTCACTAGTGCAGTTTGGTGTCACTGTCTTGGTTCATGCTAAGTAAGGCACCAGGTGTTTTACCCCACATTACTTTTACAAATGTCAACAGAGTGAAAAAGGTAGACAGCATCTCAGTTCTATTATGGAACCAACAATTTTTACATCAGAGACCCTTGAAAGGGTCTTGGGGTAGACCATGAGGGGTCCTTGGATCATAGTCCAAGAACTGCTATTAAAGGCTGTGATAATGGTTACATTTGAATGAAAAACGTCAGAATCAAAACACACTTCTAATTTTATAGTTCTTGCCATTGAATTTGAGTGAAATTTCCTGTATGCATAAGCTACGTTTACATTAAAAAATTTTTTTAAATATGTCTTGGTTCTACACCAGCATTTTACAGGAATTTAAGTTTAGAAGTCAAAAGAAAAGAAGAGATATCAGAATATTAACTCAGACGTCTTATGGTTTTTTAATGTTACTAAATATAGAAAAATTACCGTTCTGGAAAAGCACAACCTGGCAGAAGATATCTGTGGTGGGGATAGGGAAGGAGAAATAGGTTCCCATGGAGCCAGCATTTTGAAATGCTGGGCTAGTTTTGGGTTTCAGAGTCACCTGGGGCCTTTTTTAAAGTACAATATTTAAGCTTCATCACCACCCCTACCAAAATTTTGTTTTCAACGTTCAGCAGTCTATTTTTTTGTTTTGTTTTAAAAACTCTCTGGTGATTGTGGTGTGCAAAAGAACTTTGAGAATCTCTTACCTGGGGTGTTCATAAAGGCAATGTGGGAGTACCTTGGATTTGCAGAAAATTTATCTGCAACCTTTTATCTACTTATAGGCTCTTACTATAAAGAGTAGTGTTTTTATAGTTGTCAGGAAGGATCTTTAATATCTCATCTTTTCTCTTTCTCAGCATTTGATCCTCCAACTCCATTTGTCACTCGTTTTTTGAACACAAGAGCAATGAAGGAAACCTTTAAGAGCTACATGGAACTGCTTGTTAGCATTGCTTTGGACCCTGATACAATGCAAGCCTTAGAGAAGAGCAATGGTATACAGTCTGCTAAGTCATACTTTCTTATTAGTATTTTCTGGATCTTTTTTATTTTTGTCTGTTAGTTATGTGTTAAATATATGGTTTTTGTAATATATATCTATACATTTTCAGGTAACATATTCATGATACTGATTCAATAAAATTGTCTATTTTTTCATGAATTGACTATTTGAACAAATTATATTACTTTCTGGTCCATTGCTTTTTTTGACCATATTATCAGAAATAGTAATCCATACATCAGTCATTTGCAAGTCATGTAGAGCTGGAAGAGGCTTTTGAGATGACTTATTCTAAACATTTATATTGTAGACTAAAGTTCAAAGAAAGTGAATGTATTTCCTCAAGTTATAAAACAAGTTAGTGGTAAAAGAACCATGAGCAAAACCTAATATAGTCTATTTCCCTGGTTGGCATTTTTGCCATTAAATTTTTTTTCTCTCAATCAAAACCCTCTGAATCATAAAATACACATCTCTTAGTAGTGGTTGTTTCTGGGTAGTTGTATTTTAAATGATTTTTTTTCGATTGCTTTTTACTGTTTTCTGATTTTTCTCCATTTACTGTAAGGGGGAATGGTTTTAATAGTTACATTTAAAAATCCACAAATAATGGACTTTTTTGTGAAGTGTAGTTCTTATAATATTTGAACAGATTTAATCACTACTAGAAATAGAAAGACAGAACAGGTATGTTGTAGTAACCTTAGAAGGCATTCCTCATCAAGGACTTTTTGTTCAATTAGAAGTGTTCTTTCACTGGTCACTGTGTTTGTGTTTGTATTCAAACTCTATGTAGAGTCATTTTATTCAGATATAAAATTAGTAACCTGATTCTGAGGATCATATATACATTTCCAGAAAAGTCATTAAAGCTAATTAGTATTAATAAGGTATGTTATTTACTATGCTAATAAATTAAGAAATAGTCTAATAACCTAAAATATTTAATACAGCACCAAAAGTAATTAACTTATACTCTGAAAGTGCTTTTCTTAACAGAGTTTAAAGTTTTTATTAAAGAAATAAAAAAGAAAGCAAAACATTTTGAGTAGAAATCTATCACACTTTTACTCTTTCCTTTTCTAAAATAACTATTTTGATCATCCCTTGTGTTTTTGAAACTAGATTTAGATCACCTTTCTTCCACTTTTCATTGCCCCAAACCACAGTGAATTAAGAAAATCAAACTCAGTATTTTATAAAATTTCATAGTGTTAGATAAAGTGATATTTTGTAATACAACTATTGTTCAGGTGGTAAATGGGGTCTGGAAAAATTAGGCAATTTGCCTACTGGCCACTTGGCTGCCATCCATCAGTTCTAGTGACAGAGATAGGGCTAAAACCCAGAACTTGTGATCCTGTCATCATACTACGCTGAGTCTTTCTCACTTGGCTATTGTAAACCTATTCTTTCAAGTTAGCTTTTGTTGAGAAAGCTTCATGTCCAGTGTTCTAAAAGCAATACTTTATATAAGCCAATGAATTTAATGTCCTAAAATATTAATGTTTTGAGAAAAGTTGTATTTTTAACAAGTTTTGTGTTGATAGTTTATCCTGTTACAACAAATTTTTTATCTTATTTTAGATGAGCTACTTTTGCCTCATATGAAAAAGATAGATAGTATGCTGAATGATAACCGCAAGAGACTTCTTCTGAATCTTCATTTGGATCAGTCATTCAAGGTATTGCCTTCAAATGATCTATTAGCAAATTATTTGGCAATTATCGTCTTAAATATAATAGGAAGAAAAATTTATGAAAGTCATTCTCAATTTTATAAAATTTTTCATCCAACAAAAATTTGATGTTTATTCACCATGAGTCTGTTTAGCTTGTCTTTTCATTTTATTAAGCATATTCTTAGTGTTAATCATTTGCTTTTCTCTGCTTAAATTAATTTATCAGGCTTTTATATTGATCTAGTATTCCTTCTGTATAATAAATTTTCAAGTGATTTCAAAACTACTTTGTTTGAAGTACAATATTCCAGTCTTGTTTTTCTTTTAAACCTGTTCCAATCTTTTTTTCTTTTAAACCTGTCCAAAATTTTCATCTGTAATTAGAAGTGGCCTTTTCTTAACATAGTTATCAAAATTCCCTTTACTTGCTTGTTTTACTCAATATCTGAGGAAAAAATTGATCCTCACATAATGGTAGGAGATATATATAATTATGTCTGTTACTCTACCTTGATGGTATAAACTGGTTTTGGTGTTATCACAAATAGAGAACAACAAAAAAACAACCAAAACTCAGAAAGTTTTTCATAGAAGCTACTTTAGCAGTCAAAAAATTTCCAGCTTTTCTTATCCAAATACAACATACAACATCTAGAATCATTTGATTATATCTACATTGGGAGAATTTTTTTTACATTTGTGTAACTTTTTTTATTGATAGACTTTATTTTTTAGAGCAATTTGAGGTTCACAGCAAAATTGAACAGAAAGTACAGAGTTCTCATATAACGTCTGTCCTCACAAAAAGACAACCTCCCCCTTTATCAAGATCTCCCACCAGAGTGGTACATCTGCTACAGGTGATGAATCTATATTGATACATCATTATTACCCAAAGTCCATAGTTTACATTGCAATTCTCTCTTGCTTTTGTACATCCTCTGGCTTTGGACAAATGTACAATGACATGTATCCACCATTACAGTATTATACAGAGTTTTCAGTGCTCAGAAAATCCTTCGTGTATTTATCCCTTGTTCCCTGCTAACCCCTGGCAACTACTGATTTTTTTACTGTCCTCATAGTTTCTACTTTTATAGAATGTCATATAGTTGGAACCATACAGTATATAGCCTTTTCAGATTGGCTTTGTTCACATAGTAATAATGTATTTAAGGTTCCACCATGTCTTTTCATGACTTAATAGTTCATTTCTTTTTAGCATTGAATAATATTCGACTGTCTGAATGTACCACAGTTTATCTCTTCGTGTACTGAAGGACATTATGGTTGCTTCCTAATTCTGGCAATTATCAATGAAGCTGTTATACATACCTGTGTGCAGGTTTTTGTGTTGACAAGTATTCAACTCCTTTGGGTAATTTGTACAGATTTTTCACATCCCTGTTTTAATCTTAACTCCATAAAAATGGCATTTTTGCCATTAAATTTTTTTTCTCTCAATCAAAACCCTCTGAATCATAAAATACACATCTCTTAGTAGTGGTTGTTTCTGGGTAGTTGTATTTTAAATGATTTTTTTTCGATTGCTTTTTACTGTTTTCTGATTTTTCTCCATTTACTGTAAGGGGGAATGGTTTTAATAGTTACATTTAAAAATCCACAAATAATGGACTTTTTTGTGAAGTGTAGTTCTTATAATATTTGAACAGATTTAATCACTACTAGAAATAGAAAGACAGAACAGGTATGTTGTAGTAACCTTAGAAGGCATTCCTCATCAAGGACTTTTTGTTCAATTAGAAGTGTTCTTTCACTGGTCACTGTGTTTGTGTTTGTATTCAAACTCTATGTAGAGTCATTTTATTCAGATATAAAATTAGTAACCTGATTCTGAGGATCATATATACATTTCCAGAAAAGTCATTAAAGCTAATTAGTATTAATAAGGTATGTTATTTACTATGCTAATAAATTAAGAAATAGTCTAATAACCTAAAATATTTAATACAGCACCAAAAGTAATTAACTTATACTCTGAAAGTGCTTTTCTTAACAGAGTTTAAAGTTTTTATTAAAGAAATAAAAAAGAAAGCAAAACATTTTGAGTAGAAATCTATCACACTTTTACTCTTTCCTTTTCTAAAATAACTATTTTGATCATCCCTTGTGTTTTTGAAACTAGATTTAGATCACCTTTCTTCCACTTTTCATTGCCCCAAACCACAGTGAATTAAGAAAATCAAACTCAGTATTTTATAAAATTTCATAGTGTTAGATAAAGTGATATTTTGTAATACAACTATTGTTCAGGTGGTAAATGGGGTCTGGAAAAATTAGGCAATTTGCCTACTGGCCACTTGGCTGCCATCCATCAGTTCTAGTGACAGAGATAGGGCTAAAACCCAGAACTTGTGATCCTGTCATCATACTACGCTGAGTCTTTCTCACTTGGCTATTGTAAACCTATTCTTTCAAGTTAGCTTTTGTTGAGAAAGCTTCATGTCCAGTGTTCTAAAAGCAATACTTTATATAAGCCAATGAATTTAATGTCCTAAAATATTAATGTTTTGAGAAAAGTTGTATTTTTAACAAGTTTTGTGTTGATAGTTTATCCTGTTACAACAAATTTTTTATCTTATTTTAGATGAGCTACTTTTGCCTCATATGAAAAAGATAGATAGTATGCTGAATGATAACCGCAAGAGACTTCTTCTGAATCTTCATTTGGATCAGTCATTCAAGGTATTGCCTTCAAATGATCTATTAGCAAATTATTTGGCAATTATCGTCTTAAATATAATAGGAAGAAAAATTTATGAAAGTCATTCTCAATTTTATAAAATTTTTCATCCAACAAAAATTTGATGTTTATTCACCATGAGTCTGTTTAGCTTGTCTTTTCATTTTATTAAGCATATTCTTAGTGTTAATCATTTGCTTTTCTCTGCTTAAATTAATTTATCAGGCTTTTATATTGATCTAGTATTCCTTCTGTATAATAAATTTTCAAGTGATTTCAAAACTACTTTGTTTAAAGTACAATATTCCAGTCTTGTTTTTCTTTTAAACCTGTTCCAATCTTTTTTTCTTTTAAACCTGTCCAAAATTTTCATCTGTAATTAGAAGTGGCCTTTTCTTAACATAGTTATCAAAATTCCCTTTACTTGCTTGTTTTACTCAATATCTGAGGAAAAAATTGATCCTCACATAATGGTAGGAGATATATATAATTATGTCTGTTACTCTACCTTGATGGTATAAACTGGTTTTGGTGTTATCACAAATAGAGAACAACAAAAAAACAACCAAAACTCAGAAAGTTTTTCATAGAAGCTACTTTAGCAGTCAAAAAATTTCCAGCTTTTCTTATCCAAATACAACATACAACATCTAGAATCATTTGATTATATCTACATTGGGAGAATTTTTTTTACATTTGTGTAACTTTTTTTATTGATAGACTTTATTTTTTAGAGCAATTTGAGGTTCACAGCAAAATTGAACAGAAAGTACAGAGTTCTCATATAACGTCTGTCCTCACAAAAAGACAACCTCCCCCTTTATCAAGATCTCCCACCAGAGTGGTACATCTGCTACAGGTGATGAATCTATATTGATACATCATTATTACCCAAAGTCCATAGTTTACATTGCAATTCTCTCTTGCTTTTGTACATCCTCTGGCTTTGGACAAATGTACAATGACATGTATCCACCATTACAGTATTATACAGAGTTTTCAGTGCTCAGAAAATCCTTCGTGTATTTATCCCTTGTTCCCTGCTAACCCCTGGCAACTACTGATTTTTTTACTGTCCTCATAGTTTCTACTTTTATAGAATGTCATATAGTTGGAACCATACAGTATATAGCCTTTTCAGATTGGCTTTGTTCACATAGTAATAATGTATTTAAGGTTCCACCATGTCTTTTCATGACTTAATAGTTCATTTCTTTTTAGCATTGAATAATATTCGACTGTCTGAATGTACCACAGTTTATCTCTTCGTGTACTGAAGGACATTATGGTTGCTTCCTAATTCTGGCAATTATCAATGAAGCTGTTATACATACCTGTGTGCAGGTTTTTGTGTTGACAAGTATTCAACTCCTTTGGGTAATTTGTACAGATTTTTCACATCCCTGTTTTAATCTTAACTCCATAAAAAGTGAAAATTGACTACATTGTAGTGAGGTAGAAATTAAGGCCCTGAGATTGAGTTTGAAGTTAAGTGACACCAAACCCTACTAGTAGTACTATAATCTTCACTGACATTTATTTATAGAGGAATAAAAAAAAACAGGAAAAAAACCAACAGAAGCTAGTAAGAAGCTCAATACTAGAAATTTAGTCTAGTGATTCCTTGTCCAGTATTGTCTGCTTAACTGCTATCTTCAAATGAAATATTCCTTTGGGAAATTATACGTTTTCTGTAGACAAGGCTATATTTATACTTGGCTGTATGTTTTCTAAACATTTACTAAATCTGAAAAATAACCAGTTTTGACTAACCATTTTGGAAATGCCTAATCAGTTCTCTAGTCACTTGTGTTAAAATAAGGCCACTACTTGGAATATTTAGGCTTGTGTTAAATGCCTAATCAGTTCTCTAGTCACTTGTGTTAAAATAAGGCCACTACTTGGAATACCACTCAGTAGATATTTAGAGCTTACGTAGTAGTTTATGGTGAACAGCTGAAAAATTAGTTTTCATAGTCTTATTGTCACAAAAAAATGTCAAATTTGGAAATTATAGTAATTTTGATAATTTTCATTTATAGCAATTTGCATTTCAAAGCCAAAATACATACACAGTATTAAAAGTTAGAATGATTTGATGGAAAATATTACCAACAATAGACTATAAAAGATTTTCTGTTCCTTAGAAATAGTTGGCACCATTTCCCAAGATGGTCTTGGTCATTTTAGGAGACCTAAAGCCTTTTGAAGTTAATGCTGTTCTTTTTCACCCTGAAATCCATGTATCCAAGTCATCTTTGGCATCTCATGCTTATTATATCATTTGAGTTTTTTCCTTTCATTCCATTGTCCTAGTGTTCATTGTTTCCAAATTTAGAATCAAGGTTTTGTCTTTAAATTCCATTTATTGTAAATTGTAATTCTGGGCTCAAAGTTTTCAAGCCTGGGCAGGTTTTATATGGAAAGCACCAAAACATGTAATAAAAGTACAAATAATTAAGAAAGAATAAAACTGGAAATTAATGATAGCTCCCTCTGGTAGAAAGTGCCAAAAATTCTGTTGTTTTTATTAAATGAAACTTAGTTCCCTTCTATACTTATACCTAAAAAAATTAAGTTATGTGGTAAAAATGAAGTTCTGAGGGTCACGGGTGCTTAGGAACTCATACAGAGTATGGAAAAGAGTGGCCTTGAAGCTTATAAATGGTTATGAAACAGGATCTATCAAACAATAACTACATGCTAAATAATAAATATAATGGGGAAAATATTTAATGGGATCACTTATACCTTTAGTGTCAAAATAATAAATAATACTGGTAACTCAATGTACTTTTTAAAAACAATAATCAAACTACTTAAATTTGGCTGCAAATATCATTCAGTTATTTGAAGCATTTCATGTCAGGATGATTTGCCAAGTAGGTCAGCAGTGGCTTTTAAAGAATGGACTGAAACTGGCTCTGCCACATGGCCACTAACCTGTCAGTGATAATTATGTTACTGTGGTCAGAAAACTCATCAAGCTCTGTCTCAGAATCTTATCTCACAACTGCTCACAAATCAAAAGAAGCAAGAGAAGTGGTAAAGCCAGAGAGCATTATAATGCTTCTTGTTTTGCTCTGTTCTCATCCTTATCTGAGATCAGATGAATTCTTTGTAGTAGGACTTGGCCAAGTTCCAGGGTGTTAACACTGGTAGAGCCCATAGGAAACATATATGTTCTTCCTACCTTGGAACCAGAGGCATAACCAGAAAGAGCTCTTCCTCCTCATTCAGGAGTCTCTACAGTGTCATGTGGTGTTGCTTAAAGCAGCTCATGAAGTTGGCCCCAATTCAAGGGGTTTGGAAACAGATTCCACAGGTTGATGAAGGAGCTACAGAGAATTTGTGGCTATATTTAACACTCCACATGTATATATGTATGTATGTATATGTACATGTATATATACCTGTAATTTGAAAAGAATATTTGAATAGCTGGAGATGGTTTGGATTAATTTTCTTCTGATATTAATTATTTTTGCTCTATTTTAAAGAATGCTTTGGAAAGTTTTCCTGAACTAACAATAATTACTCGAGACTCTAAAGCAAAAAATGGGGGATCTGCTATTTCTAAAATCAAAATGAATGGCAAAGCTTATAATAAGAAAACTCTAAGGACTTCTAAAACAACCACTAAATCTGCACAAGTAAGTACATATTTATTCATATAATTATATCTCTTACAGTTGTTAATATAATTCCACTTAAAACATTGAAACAAGCACATATTTTACTATACTATTGTAAATGTGAAGTCTTTTCACATATAAATGAGCAGCTCTGGCCTAAAGAACAGGGATTAGGTCTAATTTGGTTTCCTCCATGCCTAGCATAAGATCTGGCATCTAGGGAGTGCCCAAAATGTTTTGAGTAGACTAATAATCAAGGAATCATCCCATGCTTGTATTTATATTTTTATGTAGTTTTTTTTTGTCCTTGGATACACATGCATACAGATAAGTGAGTGTGCACACGTGCCATAAGAATCAATATTCCATATCTGCAAAATTACTAAAATTGGAATTCATTTTCAGACTTAGTCTAAATTATTATCTTTTCAGAAAAGTTTAGCAACATAATCAATTTTACAACAAAAGTGTATCTGTAGAAACACATTCACAAATACACAAAAGCATATGCTTTTGCCCATTGCAGAATTGCTTGTAAGAGCACTCCAGCTATGTATCACCAGTGTGAGACTGGATAAATAGTCACCCAGATAATGTAATACCTTGTACTTTTTAAAAATACGATCCATACATTCATTGTTTCCATTAAGTAATTGAGTACTTTGAAGTGCAGTATTGAAATATTCTTCAATAAATACTCATTCTTCAATAAATATATTGTCTGTAGTGTGCTAAATATAGTTTTAAGTACCATGAATACAACAGTGAAAAGTGATTTTAAAGAATCCCTGCTCTCATATAATTTATATCAGAAGGGATATATGTAATAAATAGAAGAGATATCTTCATTTTAGTTAGGTAAAAAAAAACGAGTTATAAAAAATAAACTTGCAGAACAATATGTAATAATATGATTCCCTTCCCATTACAAAATTAGTGTTACTAATGTATGTTAAACATACAGGGGAAAAATGGAAGAATACTTATAACATGCCTGTTTTAAAGAATGCTTTGGAAAGTTTTCCTGAACTAACAATAATTACTCGAGACTCTAAAGCAAAAAATGGGGGCTCTGCTATTTCTAAAATAAAAATGTGCCAAATATAGTTTAAGTACCAGGATTAACCATGTTTATCTCTGAAGCAATAGATCATAGAATTCTTTTACTTTATAAGTCATCTTATATGTTTACTGGTTAGATTTTTCTATAATGTTAAGTTTTTGAAATGGTGTATATTAAATTCAAGGAAAAGAATGAAGATTTTAAAATACAATTTAAATTCTTATTTTGAATAAGCATCTTGACCATATTAATACAAGGTAGTATCTAGCCAGATAAGTCATTTTTAAGACTTCCATTGAGACTTTTGGGCTAGTGTTTTCATAAAAATATTCTTAGCTCAGATATTCCATGAAATGAAGATATATATAAACTCTTTTCATTTTTATAGGAGTTTGCTGTTGATCCAGAGAAAGTACAGTTGTATTCTTTGTATCATTCACTCCATCATTATAAATACCATGTTTATCTGATATGTAAAGATGAGGTAATTATTTTTTCATTTATTTAAAAAAGTAATGTATGTTTTTCTGAATTTAAGGAGACTGTAGCTATAGTATTTTTTAGTGTCTTAAAAGAGAATTGTTAAAAAATTGTGTCTGTGTTCTTCTGTAAATAATGACCAGATGATTTATTGTTTTGAGTATTATGTGTTATGCTCAGATTAATCTGAGGCTCACCACCTCTCATAGGAGCTATATGTAATAATGTATTTAAAGTTGCTTAAGTTGCTCAGAAATTATGTATGACAGTAATACCACTTTGTGGGTGGGATATGAGGGTTAATTTCCTCAGAGGTAACCTAATTGGTTATAGACAGTACTATCTTTCCTGGCCAGCACTATTAGTTTTTTAATTAAAAGGGCTAAATTGGCTCAACGCTATGCCTGATGTATTTGGTTATGGTCTGGTATGGAAAGATGTTCATAAATAACCTCTGCCTAGCAAAGGAAAAAGTAAAGATGGTCATGAAAAATATGTTGATTATTTTTACAAATGCTCTGAAATGCAGTACTGACCCCTAAATTTGTTATTCAGCTTGTAACACAATTGGAAGAAATTGAGAAAGTTGGAAGCACTTTTCCCAAGCCTTCCTCCCTGACCCCATGGAGTCAAAAATGATAGGATTACACTTCACCCAAGTTTATATGAAGTAACCATTCTCCATGGATGGAATTAAAAAGAAAAAAGATCAGAGCTTGTAGTTGAACTAATAATCCTCTTTTCATTTAGGATATAGAAATAACAAGCCCTTGTGAAGTCTATAAAGTGATACGCTTAAGCTAATAATGTGGCAATTATCTTTATTTTAGATTTCTTCTGTGCAGAAAAAAAATGAAGATTTAGGACAAGAAGAAATTGTTCAACTTTGTATGAAAAATGTAAAATGGGTGGAAGACCTATTTGAAAAATTTGGAGAACTTCTAAATCATGTACAGCAGAAATGTTCCTAATATTTCCACAAAAACCCCATCTATTTTAAGGCACTAATGAAATGGTGGAGAGGAATGGCCAAAGAGGGTCTAGGGCCTCATATAATCATGTGTCAAGCAGTGGTCTCCTGTGGACATCCCTGCTTTGACCATGGAACTTGCATTATGACCTCTGCTGAGGAACAGTGGTGCTGTGCTGCCAAGGAAGTCAGTCCTTTGGGAACAGATCTGTATCCCACCACGTTTTTATCCTAATGAATGATTTTTCTATTTTGTAAACCATTGGATAACTGAGTTTTATTTTCAGAAATGTTTTTTGACAAATGATGAAGCATGCACTAAGTATAATTTTTCTTTATTGTTAGAGAGATAACACTTCAGTAACTTGATTATTTTTTTCTGATTCTGACTAAACACCAGAATTAAAGAGAGGTGGCAGAGGTATATGTTTATATTCATGTCTGGCCACAAAATGGAAAGTATTGTACATTATGTAAACAGATCTGGTGTGATGTGACATTTTGTATGAGAATATCATCAATTTAAAATAGAAAATTCAGAACCTGCATTCTGCTTTATGAACTCCTTTTACTCTGAACATGTTCAGGAAACTGGATGTGGAATTGGTGCAATTCTGTGACTGCTTTTTGTGTCAAATTATATTGTGATGAAAAAAACAATGAACATGCTATTTTCCCTATCTCAAAGAAAAGTATTTTCCTTTATACTGTTTTACCTTTGGAAAATTTTTCAATTGTACATTTGATTTCACTAATAGGTGTATTTTTCACAAGGAAATGTTGTGGTTACGTTTGATGTTATCTGTACTACACTTTTCATTATTTTCAGTAAATCTTATTTAGTTATATATTGAATTTCTATTGTGAATTCTATCTTGAGGTAACCATTTTTGTTTATTCAGATTCGCTTCAGTGTTACCCAGAATATGCATTCATTTCTAGAATTAGTTTAGCTTTATAAATGGGGTTGTGTTAGACACTGCAGTAATTTTCTAATTCATGAAAATTAATTTTCTGAGAAACAAGCACTTGATTAACTGATATGTCAAAATAAAAATTAACCACGTGTATTTTGATGAATAAAGTGTGTAATTAGATGATATGCAGTGTTAAACACAAGTTTACTTAATTCTTAGAACTGGAAATGGTAGAGCTCTCCGTTTGGTGCCTTTCCAACCTTTATACATGCTATTGTAGCTTTCTTTAGTTTGATAGCTAGTGTTTCAAGTAGTTTAGCTGAGGAGACAGTGAATGTATTAGGTTCAACATGACCACCTTGTGTTTTATTTGTGTTTGCCAACAGGATGCCTTATTGGTTTGAGAAAAAGATTTACTAGTGTCCTTCTAAATGATCTCTTTTTTAGGGTTTCTAAAGAAGTTGTTAATCATCATACTTTTGTTTGTTTTACCACCATTTAGTGCCTTAAGTCCTATCAAGAAAGCAGTGTTACTGCTCAATCCCCAAATAAGATGTGGATATTGCCATGGTCTTGATTTTGAGTTAACAAGCCAACTTCTTATACTTAAAACCTAGGTAAACTGGCAAAGAATTAAAGGTAACTTGTGGCTTGATTTGAGAATAAAATGTAGCATTGGGTGAAAAATGAGTATTTGAGTTAAGTTTTCATATTTATTTCTAATGATTGTCTTACTTAAAGCAATAATCCTTACTCCAACAATCCTTGTACCTGCCACTAGACAAGATAATGGAAGTTTCTCTCAAGGGTTAAATGTTCCATTTCTGAAAGGTTTTTTTAAGATTTGTTTAGACAGCTTATTTTGAAAACAAAAGTAACCTGGTAGATTGATTTTAGCTAACACAAATGAGAGAATAGCAGCAGTGAGAGAGCATCATTAAATCAGTTTTGCCAAGTGGAGAAAAGTGGGAAGCAGCCATATTTCTTTCTGATACTGACTCTGGACAGAATTGGTTTCTTTCTAAAGTGCAGAGTAGGTAACTACACCTCTTAATGTAGTGTTGTAAGTACAAATCTTTATACTACTCTCCCAGCTTACTTTCCTGAATCATTGAGGGTTTAAACAATAAAAACCATCTTGCATTTAGGTAACTCTTGAAGTACATGTTTGAAATCACTAGCCTCATTTCCTTTATAATGAGACCCATGAAAACTGTCTTACGTTTCCTGGAGAAAATAACCCATTTCCTTTTCAACTGCAGTCAACCTCAAACTGTTTACGGTTGTATTCATTTCAGTAAAACAAATGTTTTCATAATATCAGGCCAAGTCTGTGATATTGCCTGGAGGAGACCCTACTGTTTTGCACCATCTCTTATTTGATACATAGAACATAAGGCAAAGATACCAAATTTGGGCCTTAGTGAAAAGTGGGACTCTAATTATGACATCCATAAATGAGTCCTTTCTTGGTATGAAGTTGAATAAACACCTAGCTGGTCACCATTCCCATACTTTGTTAGGGGGTTTGAAATTTATAATATAGAAAAAAGCTTAGATTGTAGAATTAAAGAGTTAAAGCACATGTTGCGAGGAAAACATTTTAAAGAAAGATTGAATTTTCCTACCTATAGCTATGTGGAAATAATCTAATATAAAAAATCATTTTGTTTTGGTGTTTGTTTCTAGTTCAGATTAGTGGTTGGAGAAGGGACCTCCTTGTTCCCATCTTCATGATACCCAATTTCCACTTATTTGATCCTCTAATGTAAAGGCATTAATTTATAAAGATCTATGAATTATATCATAAGCCAACAATAGAAAAACACCCATTTTCCTATTACACTATCAAATAGAAAATGTTGGTAAGATGAAAGAAATCTTTATTTAAAATGGCTTAGAAAATGTTCAGATTATCTTTTGTGAATTCTAAATTTCTAAAATTTAAAATTATAGATGACTCATACATTATTGCTGTTTTCAAAACTTTCCTCACATCTTTTAAAGTTTCACTTTGTTTTTAATATATGTATTTATTTTTATTAAAGCAACTATTTCCCAGCTTATGACTTTGGAGATATACATACCATAAAACCAGTATAGCAGTGGGGAGATTGAATCAGCTTAGGGTCCCAAAAGTTGCTTCAGATTTGCAAGTTATGAATTTTATTGTATTTGTAGAATACATTTTTTGTTTTATACTGTAGTTCCATCTGTTTCTCAAAAATGTTTTTTAAATAGAGTGAAATATCCCAGGATAATTCCTTCTGTGTCAGTTGCACTTGACACATAACTGCACAAATGAACAATGTACACTATTAGTGGTGCATTAACTTACATGTACATCTGGCATATGTGTTCACAAATGCATGTTTTTGCAAATCACCTTTATTTATAAGTGACTATAATTGAAGTTTAGGATACAAAGAAACCTGCATTTGTAGTCCAGAGTTTTAAGTGGTCCATAATACAATGTATGGAAATGTGAAAGACAATTTTGTATATTCGTTTGTTACTAACTCAGATCATTAAAATGAAAACAATTTTTTAAACAACAAAATACAAATGTTTGGTTTTTTTTTAGAATTGAAAATTGAGGTATTATCCAAAAGCAGCAGCATTTTATTAGATTCCTCTTCCTCACACAACACACATCATGTTACAGAGTCTTAAAGTTATTAGGTACAAATGGTGTAAGACTCACCACTGTTTTCTCAAGTAATTAAGTCCATATTTGATTAATTATGCAGCCTCAGCTGACTATCAGAAAATACTAGTTTCTGGGTTATGATAGAACTCTTTTAGGCCTTTTCCACCTATAAAGAAGTACAAATCTATTAAGTTGCGTTTCTAATTTTTATTTGAAAAGAGTGCATAACTAGAAGTAATTGCTAATATCAAGACTTTTTTATTATCCGTATAAACTATGAAATAGGTAAAAATAGTTTGAACTGACCAATCCTTTAATTTTCATAAAAATAGGAATCTGCCTTTGTCTTCATGTAATATTTGAAAATATTAAGTATTTCAACTAAAAACAATGGTCAGCATATTTGCTGTTTTAATCTGGTTTGTTGTAAAAGGATTTACTTTTCATTCCTTTATTTTACACAAAATAGCTCAAAAATAAAGTTTTAACCAAATATCTATCAAAATACGTTTTAAAATTCTGTAACCTATTTTATTCCCCATTAAACAAAATTCATTGCTGAAATTGCTGTTCATTTTAGAAAATATTTAGTCATTCAAATATTTTATGAAGTAGTCATTATTCAGATTATCTCTTGCAAACCTAAATAATAGCATTTAGACTACACTGCTTTATAAATGTCTTGTTAGTATATGGTTATATTTTTTAGTATTTTTTTTAATATACTTTGTATCTCAGAGAAGCTCTCTAATCTCTATTATTTAACCAGACCTTCTCAAGGAAGATGTGGAAGAGGATACTTCTCTTTGTTTTCCATTTGGGCATATTTTTATTACCAGAAAAATATTAAAGCTACTCATGTTTGTTTAAAAAAAAGGCCAAAGAATATGAAAAAGTGTAAAGAAAAAGGTATAAACCACTCTCTACTAAGTCTTGACATAATCCTAAAACATATTCTAAGTTCCCAGTACAGGATGGATCACAATAATCAGGTATTATGGATTGGTCCTTTTATGTGGTTTGGCTTTAACTAAATTCCTAGATTTTAGAGATACCCACCTTTAAATGAAAATTTTAAAACATACTCCCAAGTGAAATAGAAATGATCTGTATTTTTTATCATTTTAGGTTATGTATTGACTGTTCTTCAGTTAACATGAATAATTTAAAGCTGGTTTCAAATAAAAGGAAGATACTGTTACCTATTGGTCTATTGTTAAACCTTATCTATTTTGTGATGTTAATGAGGAGTCAAGAAATTGCTTTGTAGGAATAACTTTGACCTAAATCAAATACAGATTTTCTTTTGATTTAGCTCCTTATATAGTATTTAGAATAAGGCAACAGTGAAAATCATTGACAGGATAACATATAATATGGTATAATTGTTTTTCTTAAATTGCAGACAGAATTATCTTTCCTGTCCTTCCCTTCTTTATGACCTTTCCATGGCTTTTCATTATTTTTTACCCAAACTCACAGTTTACAAAGCCCTTTCTAAAGTGGTCCCTCCTTACCTCTCCTGCCCTTCCTCTGTAATGGCCAAGGCTTAAGGAACTTCTTAAAATTCTTCAAATGTATGAAGAACGCATAGTAAGTTTGGATCAGTAAAATTCTGCTTCAGTTCTGCCACTAAACTACCTCTATCCTCAGGCATGTGAAGCCTAATCTGAATCTTTTCTCATCCTGAAAGTGAGGTAAGAAAAAATCTTCAAAAGCTATTAATATTCTTTGTAAATAGCTAGAATGTAGGAACAAATGCAAAGTGATTCAGCACCAAGAGAGGCATAATAAAACAGAATGGCCTTACTTTATTATTTATAATCTCTTACTAATTTACAAGACTTACATAAAAATCATTAGGCAGGTGTTTTATACACACACACACCCTGAAAGAATATCTTATGTCTCCCAACAGCATGTAGTCTTTTACACACTAGACACTAATAGATAAGTGTTGATGTGTTGAATAGTTGGATGAATGTAAAAATGAGAGTTTATTTGAAATCAGTTTAAAGTGTTTTTAATCTGGCCTCCAGGTAATTCAAATGCATATTGTCGTTAGTCTGGTCTCTGCTTTCTCTACCTTTAAAAGAAAACATCTCTTTTATATAGTTGCCATCCTTTGCATGTCACTCTGAGTTCTCACTGTGCTTCTCAACAGACAAGAATCCATTCCCTTAATTTTTTTTATTAAGGTATCATTGATATATGATTTTATGAAGGTTTCACATGAGCAACATTGTGATTACTACATTCACCCATATTATCAAGTCTTCCCCCGCCCACCCCTTTGCAGTCACTGTCCATCAGTGTAGTAAGATGCCACAGTCACTACTTGTTGTCTTTGTGATATATTGCCTTCCCTGTGACCCTCCTACATTATGTATGCTGATCATAATGTCCCTTAATCCCCTTCTCCCTCCCTCCCATCCCCTTCCCTTTGGCAACCGCTAGTCCCTTTTTGGAGTCTGAGTCTGCTGCTGTTTCCCTTAATTCTTAATTTCCATTTAATCTATGGAAGTGAATGGGCTATATCAGAGAGGAGCCATCTTTATGCAGTGAAGCATGAGAATTCAAAACACTAGCAACAGCCTAACAAAATGTTTTTAGAATGAATATTTTTAATTAGCTTTGTTTGCATAGACTCTTAATCAATGACTTAGAAACTGTTAATGGGCTGAACAGTAGAAGGTCTTTTCAATGCTAGTCCTCAGCACAATAAAAGATAATGTTATTTGACTTAAGTAAAAGTCAGAAAGTTAAGATTTTTGACAGCTGACACTAATGCAAATGCATTAACATTATCACGAGAGTTTGCAAACAGTTCACTATCAGAAAGACGTCTTAAAGCACCATTCATGTAGCACTGCCAAGCAAAAACTTGTCTTGCCTTTTTGAAAGTATGCCCATACTGCTATGAACATACACTCAGCCATCGAATAAGAAACATGAGAAGTCAAAACTACATCCAGTAGCTAAGCACCACTGTATAAGCCTTCTCAGCTGCTGTAACAAATTACCATGGACTAGGTAGCTCAAACAGAAATTTATTCACAATTGTGGATGATAGAAGTCCCAGGTCAAGGTCCAGCAAAGTCAGTTGCCAGTGCGGACCCTCTTGCTGGCTTGCATACCGCTTGCCTTCTTGCTGTGGCCTCAAATGGCAGATATTGAGGGCACTAATCCCAATGTGGGGGCCCCACACTCATGACCTCACTTAACTCTAATTACCTCTTAAAGACTCCATCTGCAAATATCACCACACTGAGGATTAGGGCTTCAACATCTGATTTTGGGGAGGACATAACCACTGAAGTGTCAACTATGGCACAGAAAAGTTGAAAGCTGCCTTGCAAATAGTCATCACTGGCTTAAAATTACTCTCTGATCTATCCAGAAGCAAGAATACTGTTAATATACACCCCTCTCTTTGGCTATCAGATTTTCAGAGGTTCACAATAAAACTCTTATCACATGGTGAGGATGTAAATTGGTGCAGCCACTATGGAAAGCAGAATGCAGGCTTCTCAAAAAACTAAAAATAGAAGTATGATCCAACAATTCCACTTCTGAGTATCCAAAGAAAAAACATTAATTTGAAAATATATATGCACCCCTGTATTTTCTGCGGCATTATTAACAATAGCCAAGATGTGGAAGCAATGTTAAATGCCTACTGATTTATGAATGGGTAAAGAAGATGTGGTATGTATACAGTGGAATATTACTCAAACATTAAAAAGCATTGAATCTTGTCATCTGTGACAATATGGATGGACCTAAAGGGTATTATGCTAAGTAAAATAAGAGAAAGAAATACCATGCAAGCTCATTTTTATGTGGAATCTAAAAAATGAGACAAATGAACAACGACAAAAAAAACCCTAAAACAATCTTACAAACTGGCAGTTGCCAGAGGGGAGGGTAGTGGGGGAAATGGTGAAATAGATAAAGAGATACAAAGTTCCAGTTACAAAATAACTAATTCATGGGGATATGATGTACAGCAGAGGAATACAGCCAATAATATTGTAATAATTCGGTACAGTGACAGATGGTAACTAGGCTTATTCTTGTGAGCATTTTGTAATGTATATAAATGTTGAATCAGTATGTTGTACTCCTGAAACTAATATATTGTATGTCAGTTGTACTTACAAAATAATAAAATGAATCAATGAAAAACTCTTACCATGGGGTTAGAGACTGGGTCATATCCTTGGAACTACAACAACCCTCATAATATTAGCCTATCCTGTATTTCTCAGTTAACCTCCCTTTGGCTCCCATCTCTGCCCTTCTGGACCTTACTCTAGCCACACAGTGTTATTTATTGCTGAGTATGCCATGTTAAGCATGTTTTTGTGCTTTAATTATATTTCTTCTGCCTGTCTGGAAATCCTCTACTTCTTCTATTTGGTAAACATCCTTTAATGCCTACAGGGGAACCATCTCTTCTTTCCCAATCTGACTATCCTTTTGAGATCCAGCAAATTCTGAAAATGCCTCCATCATAACAAAGTTCACATGGCTCTGTTTATTTATTTATTTATTTTTTATTAAGGTGGTATTGATATACACTCTTAAGGTTTTACATGAAAAACAGTGTGGTTACTACATTCACCCATATTATCATGTCCCCCCATGCCCCATTGCAGTCACTGCCCATCAGTATAGTAAGATACCACAGAGTCACTATTTGCCTTCTCTGTGCTACACTGTCTTCCCCATGTTCCCCCTCACTGTGTGTGCTAATCATAATACCCCTCAATTCACTTCTCTCTCCCTTCCCACCTGCCCTCCCCAACCCCTCCCCTTTGGTAACCACTAGTCCCTTCTTGAAGTCTGTGAGTCTGTTGCTTTTCCTTCAGTTTTGCTTTGTTATACTCCACAAATGGGGAAAATCA